ATTTAAAATATCAAACCATTGCAGTCTATTAATTGTCCCCCAGTATCATTCCTCTCCTACTTCCTTTTAGTAATAATCCCCTATGGTTTTAGCTGAGTCTGTGGCTGCCCTGCTAAAGAATACATTTCCCAGCTTCCTTTGCATCTTTCATGTGACTACGTTCTGGCCAATAGGATGAGAGTGGAAATGACATATGTATTGGGCCAAGTTCTTAGCTGGTTGATCTCTTTTTCCTGATCCTTATCACCCTTTTTGCTGCATGGAGAGGGCAACAAGTGGAATAGACTCAGGAGGAAGCCAGAAGTTGAGAATGACAAATCTGAACTGTTACATAAGCAAGAAATAAATCTCACAGATATTTAAGCCCCTATTTGTAGGTTACTTTGTTACAGCAGTTTATTTTGTTTCCTAGCTAATTAATACAGTAACCACAACACACCTCCACTCAGGAGTGGTACAAGTCAGGGTTCTTGTTGCAAGCCACACGAGGATAGGGCAAAGGAGAGGCATCTATAGTGGGAGGTGGTTTCTGTGTTCCCTGAGACACCACACAATGTGAAGCCCCGTCCCCTATAAGGAGTGGTGGTTGGATACTGGGGGTCCAATTGTAATAGTCATCGTACTAAACACTCCATCATAATAACAGCTTCCATTTCAAGTGTGTATCATGTGCCCAGCACAATTCTATGTGTTTTACCTCTCATTACTCATTGAATCATCACAAAAACCCTACAAGGTAGATGTTATGTAAAATCGTATTTTACAGATGAGGAAACTAAAGCACAGAAAGGTTAAAGAACTCACTCTTCCTCAAACATGTCAAGCACACTTCCTCCCTGGGGCCCCTCCTGTCTGGAAAGATCTTCCCCCAGGAATCCATTCACAAGGCTCAAATGTCACCTTTTCATTGACACCTTCTCAACCACTTTATTTAAAATTAGCCTGGGCATGGTAACTCACGTGTGTAATCCCAGAAGATCAGGAGGAAGGGTGAGGCAGGAGGATCACTTGAGGCCAGGAGTTTGTGACCAACCTGCACTACACAGGGAAACCTGTCTCTACAAAATATGATAACAATTGGCTGAGCATGGTGAATTTGGTAAACATAGAGACAATGAATGAATTTGGTATCTTTTTCACATGCCTGCGGTCCCAGGTACTTGGGAGGCTGAGGTAGGATTGCTTGAGACCCAGGAGGTTGCACCACTGCACTCCAGCCTGGGCAATAGAGCAAGACCCTGTCTCAATTAAAACAAAAATAAAAACTAACATAAAATAAAATTGCATCACTCCCTCCCATCTCCATTCTACCACCCATAGGGTAACCATATATTATATCATCCAAACTAGGATGCTTTTGAGAGTAAAAAGGGGATACTAAGTTGGGTGCAGTGGCTCATGCCTGTAATCCTAGCATTTTGGGAGGCCGAGGCAGGCAGATCACTTGAGGTCAGGAGATCAAGATCAGCCTGGCTGACATGGTGAAATCCCATCTCCACTAAAAATACAAAAAAAAATCGGTCGGGCATGGTCATGGCACATGCCTGTAGTCCCAGCTACTCGGGAGGCTGAGGCACCAGAATCACTTGAACCTGGGAGGTGGAGGTTGCAGTGAGCCAAGATTGTACCACTGCACTCCAGTCTGGGCAACAGAATGAGACTCTATCTCCCAAAAAAAAAAAAAAAAAAAAAAAAAAAAGTTATGCCAGGGCAACAGGCAAAAACTGGAGCGGTCCCTGGCAAGCCCAGATACATGCCATTCTTCCCATCCCCCTTCCCTGCTTGATTTCACACCATTTTACCTGTTAGCCCTGCCAAGGTCACATTTTCCTTATTTGTCTATTGTCGGTTTCCACCCACTAGAATATAAACTCCATGAAGGCAGTAATAACTATTCTCTATTTTGTTTACAGCTCTGTCCCCAGGGTCTAGTATAGTGCCTGGCCCATAGTAGTCACTCAGTAAATATTTATTGAAAGAATTAGTAAATACATGAATGAATGGGCATCTGGTGCTAATGGGTGGGAAGTGAGGAAGAGGCCATAGGTTCTCTTTCAGGCTCAGAAAGGGCTGAAAAGTAGAAGCCTCTCTCCCCTTTACTGCTTGGCTGTTCTACTCAGAGCCCAGCTGCTTATTCCACCATCAGAGGTCAAGGCCTCAAAGGGCCATGCTTGCTGCAGTCACCTCAGGCTCACAGCACCTCTCGTCCAGCAAGAAGGTCCCCACCTCTTTGGGACCAGACCACGGTCCTTGTTCTTTCAGCTCCCAACCTGTCCCCAGTGCCAACTTGCTCCAGCCATGTGTAGCTGCTGGTCCTTTTCCAACACAACCATAGCCTGTGTCCATTCTTGCTGTCTGGAACCTGAGCACCCTCCACTCCACCCCCTGATTGAGCGTTCCAGCACCTGAACTTGATGAACTTGAAGATATGCGAAAATGAGGCATGAGTTTGGCTGAAGTGTAAATAAGCACAAAACTTTGGGAGAGTAGTTTGGCTGAGGTGTCGAATTTCAAAGTAGAATTCGACATATACAGGTGTAGAATTTCATCTACAACTCAGCAATATCACTTGTAGAAAGATGTCCTCAGAAACACTCATTTGTGTGTACAAAGATGGCTGAATAACCCTGGTCACTGCAGCCCTGTTTATAAGAGACCAAAAAACAAAAAAAAAAAGTAATGAAACTGGAGAAGAATTAACACTGTTAAAATGTCCTACAGATTCCATGTAATTCCAATCAACATTCCAATGACTTTTTTTGTAGAGATAAACAAATTCTAAAATTCTAAAATTTATAAAGAATCATAATAGACTCCATATAGTCAAAGCAGTCTTGAGTAAAAAGAACAAAGCCTGATGCATCATACCAGCTGACTTCAAAATATACTACAAAGTTATCATAATCAAAATAGCATGGCACTGGCATAAAAGCCCACACACACAGACCAATGGAACAGAATAGAGAGCCCAGAAATAAATCCACATACTTACAGTCAATTGATTGTCATTGAACATGCCAAGAACACATAATGGAGAAAGGACAGTCTTTTCAATAAATGGTGTTGAGACAAATGAATATTCATGTGAAAGAAATTAGATCATATGCAAAAAAATCAACTCAAAATGGATTCGACTTAAATGTAAGATCCAAAACGATTATAAGAAAACAGGCAAAATGCCATAGCATCAGACTAAGCAATGACTTTTTGCATATGACCCCCAAAACACGGCAGCAAAAGTGAAAATAGACAAATGGAATTGCATCAAACTAAAACGATTCTGCATAGTCAATAAAAAAAAAAAAGAGTGAAAAGACAAGCTATAGAATGGGCAAAAAATTTTGTAAACCATACATATGATAAAGGGTTAATATCCAAATATATAAGGAACTCAATCCAATAGTAAGAAAGCACAAAGCCTGAATTAAAAATGGGCAAAAGATCCAAAGAGATATTTCTCAAAAGAAGACATTAAATGGACAAATATATTTTTAAAAATGTTTAACATCACTAATCATCAGAGAAATGCAAATTAAACCCGCAATGAGATATCACCTCAGACCTGTTAGAATGGCTGTTATTAAACATATGAAAGATAAAAAGTGTTGGCAGGGATGTGGAGAAAAGGGAACTGTTGCACTGCTGATAGGAATGTAAATTAGTACAGACATTATGGAAAACAGTATGGAGGTTCTTCAAAAAATTAAAAATAGAACTACCTTATGATCCAGCAACCCTACTACTGGATACATAACCAAAGGAAACAAAATCAGTATATTGAAGAGATAGCTGCATTCCTCTGTTAATTGCAGCATCATTCGCAATAGCCAAGTCATAGACTCAATCTAAGTGTTCATCAACGAATGAATGGATAGAAATGTGGTACATATATACACAATGGAATACTATTCACCTTTAAAAAGTAACGAAATGAGGCTGGGCGCGGTGGCTCATGCCTATAATCCCAGCATTTTGGGAGGCCCAGGAGGGTGGATCACCTGAAGTCAGCAGTTCGAGATCAGCGCGACGAACATATAGAAACCCCGTCTCTACTAAAAATACAAAATTAGCCAGCGTGACCAACATGGAGAAACCCCATCTCTACTAAAAATACAAAATTAGCATGCACCTGTAATCCCAGCTACCCAGGAGGCTGGGGCAGGAGAATCTTTTGAACCAGGGAGGCAGAGGTTGCGGTGGGCTAAGATCATGCGATTGCACTCCAGCTTGGGCAACAAGAGTGAAACGCGGTCTCAAAAAAAAAAAAAAAAAAAAGAAAAAGAAAAAGAAAAGAAAAGAAAAACGTTGTCGTTTACAGCAACATACATGGAACTGGAACTGGAGGACATTGTGTTAAAGGAAATAAGCCAGCCACAGAAAGACAAATATCTCATGATCTCACTTACATAAGGAAGGTAAAAAAACTGAACTCACAAACTTTCAGTTAGACAAGAGGAATACATTCATGAGATCTATTGAACATGGTGACTGTAGATAATAACAATGTGTTGTATTCTTGAAAAAATGCCAAGATAATAGCCCCAAAATGATCAGTATGTGAGGTAATATTAACTAGCTGGATTTAGCCATTACACAATATATACATATTCCAAAACTATTTACGATACTTACCATATTTAATTTTCCCTATGTATCGCTTCATTTGGCTGTTCATTTTTATCTCTTATACTATCTTTTATAATAAACTGGTAATAGTAAGTAAAATGTTTTCCTGAAAATCAACAAACTGGAAACAACTGTTTAGCAGCAAGAAACTACCTGACCAGGTAGAAGGACGTGGTAGCTCTGTGTGTACTGAAATAGAATGTAGTCCGAGATAAATTGTCTAGGAAAATGAAAAGCAAGTTGCAAAAGAACCCACAGTATGATGTCATTTATATTGGAAAAAACGCCACAACTATGTGTGAGTGTGCACATTGAATAAAAGAAAAGTCTGGAAAGAAACTAACGGCCAGAGGCGTCACAGATTGCAAGGGGAGAGGCAGGTTTTGATGTGTGTGCGCGTGTGCAAAGTTCTGTATTGTAAGAATTTGCTACGGCCTGTATTAGCTTTACAACGAAACAGGTAGAAACCGAAAAGTTAAATTACTCCCAATTCAGTTTAGGTTCTGTCTCCGGAAAATTTTCCTGGATTCCCCAGCCCCCACTCCCCGCCCCATCCCACCACCCCCATTGCCCTCTCTGAGTCTCCATTTTCTTTTCCGTAAGAAGGGTTTTCATCATTTAACCTTATTTCTTCTGAATGCACTAAATGGTAGTTAACCTACCACTTAAGACGATGTCGGAAACATGGTTCATTGTCTTGATCCGCGCGACTCTGACTAGTTTGAGTACATTTTGGGGAAAATTTAGGAGTCAGGGGAAGAGGAGTTCCAAAAACAAACTACTAGGGGGTGCAGCTGTCCAGGAAGACTCCTGAAAAGAGCAAAGAGCTTCCGACGTTTTTCTCGACAGGCGCCGAAGTTTTCCGGAAAGAGACAACCAGCTTGGAGGTGGGCCCCAAAGCCGGCTGCGAGAGTCACCGAAGATTTCCGGAGAGAGCCGAGGAGTGGGGAAGGGCCGCTTTCCGAGAGTTGCCGAACGCTACGGAGATAACGGAAGAGTTGGAAGGCGGGGCCGCAAGAGCCATTCCTGCAGGGAACCCAAGGCTTCAGAGTCTAAAAGTTGAAAGGCGTAACCACTCACAGGCCGGAAGTTTCCGGGGTAGACGCATTCGGGTAGCAGAAGAAGTCCGAGGATTTCCGAAGCGAGCCGAGGCATCGCGATCGTTTTCAGGGACAGCTGATCGGTCGGAGCTGTTTCGCGGCCCACAGTCATGGCGGCACCCAGAGCTGCTGTGCCGGACGGTGGCGAGGAACCAGCGCCGGAGGCTGAGGCTCTGGCCGCGGCCCGGGAGCGGAGCAGCCGCTTCTTGAGCGGCCTGGAGCTGGTGAAGCAGGGCGCCGAGGCGCGCGTGTTCCGCGGCCGCTTCCAGGGCCGCGCGGCGGTGGTGAAGCACCGCTTTCCCAAGGGTTACCGGCACCCGGCGCTGGAGGCACGGCTTGGCAGGCGGCGGACGGTGCAGGAGGCCCGGGCGCTCCTCCGCTGCCGCCGCGCGGGTAAGGTGGGCCCGGATCGCGGCGTGGGTGGCCCCGGGGCTCTGGGCCTTGGATGGGTGAGGGACTTTCCTGCTCTCCGAGCCTCGATTTGCCTCAGCTTCTCCTTATGTGCCTTCTGCCGTGGCCTGCCTTTCGGAAATGTTATTCTTTCATCCCTTTCTTCGTGAAGTCTTAAGAAACCACGTGGCCTTGCAGGGTCAAGCGTTTGTCCTGGGCCGTTCTGCTTGGCTCAGATCTGGGCTCTGTCATTATTGCTCAACGTTGAACATGTTTAACTTCTCTGAGCCTTGGTTTCCCTATTTGACTGGTTTCAATTTTCGATCATTATCTATTCACTTACTAGTCTTAAGAAACAGATGTAATTACAAGTATTTGCCCTGGAGCCAGGCTCTTTGGGTTGATATACTAACTATGCTGCTTCTTATGTAGCCTTTCAACAAGTTATTTAGCCTCTCAACCTCATTTTTCTCACCTGTGAAATGGGAGCCATAGTAGCAGTATCCATGTCATAGGGATGTTGTGACCATTAGAGAAGGTATATGTGCCATGTATTATGTTCGAATGTGTGCCTGGCACATAGTGCTCAATAAATGCTGGACTTCATTAAGTTGCCTATTTATTTTTTCATTAAACATCATTGTACGCCAGCACCATAAACCTTGTCCTCAGATGGGAGATTGACACTCAAGAGAGAAGTAACTTGCCCAAGGTTGCACAGCTACTAAGTGGCCGGTCCAGGCCCTCAGGTCCGTGTGCCTCTGACTCAGAAGCACTGGCTTTTCACTTTTACACTTTTTGCCTTTCTTTCTTTTATCGGTATTTTTTAGACAGCGGTGGGCACCAGAACATTGTTAAGTGCTGGGAGATCAGGGGGAGGGGAGCCGAGAAATTCATTAGCCAACAAGCAGGCACATGCTGCCCTTGTAAAGACTTAAGATTTCATGAAGTTATTTGTGTGTTCATATTTCCGTTTTCGGCCTCTTATGATATGTTAAGCAGGGATTGTATTATAACTGCCTTGTTTATTGCTATATCCCCATTGATTTATCTCTAAGTTTCTAGAAAAGTATACTGAGCCTGGTTGACTTTCGGTAAAGATTCGTTGAGTTTATTGGTGCTATTGTTCTATGTTATAGCAGCAGAAACTGAAGCTTAGAGAAGTTAATGCAACTTTAAGATTAGACAACTAATAAGAAAAGGAGATGGGATTTGAACACTGTCCTCTCTGAAGATAAACCTCGAAGTCAGCCACTGCTTGGCCTCCTGTTTGTGACCTCATCAGTAGAACCTGCCCTGACTGGGCTGTGCCTTGCTCTTTGTTTTTGTTTTTGGTTTTTGAGACAGTGTCTCGCTCTGTCACCAAGGCTGGAGTGGTGCAGTGGCGTGATCTTGGCTCACTGCAACTTCTACGCCCTGGGTCAAGCTATTCTCCTGCCTCAGCCTCCCAAGTAGCTGGTACTACAAGCTACTTGTATTTTTGTATTTTTAGTAGAGATGGGGTTTTACCATGTTTGCCAGGCTGGTCTCGAACTTCTTACCTCAAGTGATCCTCTTGCCTCAGCCTCCCAAAGTGCTGGGATTACAGGCATGAGCCACTGCACCTGGCCTTTGTTTTGTTTTTTCAGGGAGAGAGTGTGATAAATGAAGTTCAGTGAGAAAGGGTGGTTTGGAAGGGAGGAGGAAGCTTTTGCCTCCTCAACTTAGCTGTGGGGTGGTCCCAGGCATAGTCCTGCAGAGGGCATGAGCAGGGGAATATTCCAGATGAGTTAAGTTGTACCATTTCATGCAGCATTCCTAAATCATCCTGAAATAAGTAGATATAGTTGGAAAAACTGGCTTAATCTTTGAAAATTAAGTTTACCATTAAAAAAGAAAATCCAACCCAATAACCACTTACGTCTTGATTTCAGGAATATCTGCCCCAGTTGTCTTTTTTGTGGACTATGCTTCCAACTGCTTATATATGGAAGAGATTGAAGGCTCGGTGACTGTTCGAGATTATATTCAGTCCACTATGGAGACTGAAAAAACTCCCCAGAGTCTCTCCAACTTAGCCAAGGCAATTGGGCAGGTTTTGGCTCGAATGCATGACGAAGACCTCATTCATGGTGATCTCACCACTTCCAACATGCTCCTGAAACCCCCCCCGGAACAGCTGAACATTGTGCTGATAGACTTTGGGCTGAGTTTCATTTCAGCACTTCCAGAGGATAAGGGAGTAGACCTCTATGTCCTGGAGAAGGCCTTCCTCAGTACCCATCCCAACACTGAAACTGTGTTTGAAACCTTTCTGAAGAGCTACTCCACCTCCTCCAAAAAGGCCAGGCCAGTGCTAAAAAAATTAGATGAAGTACGCCTGAGAGGACGAAAGAGGTCCATGGTTGGGTAGAAGAATGTGTCTGACAACCACACACAGTGAAGCTGTTTTTTCAAAGTACATTTGAAGAAATGCTGCGAGTAAGAGAGTAGATCTAAGTAAAGGTGTTAAGATATTTTTAAGTGGTGTGTGATCGTGCCTGGTGTGTCATCATCTGCACTAGTGGAGCTTTCTATGTATCTAAGACACGTTCTAGGTGGAATTGGGTATTTAAAAGTAAATCTGGGACAGGCTTTCTCCCAGGTTGTGACTTGTAAATCTCAGGTACATGGGTGGAGCATTGAACCACATGAGAACTTCATTCTCTTTTTAGTCCCTGTGAGACAAGGGTGAAGTCTCAGTTGCTGATAGTATGTCTTTATCAGCCCCATAACCTAATGTTTTTTTGTTGCACATGATATATTTATCTTGAAACCAGTTTAATGGGAATACAACTAGAATTTTTTAAAATGAAGTAGAATTACAGAATAGACAATATCAGCGTATTGTTTTATGAAACTTTCTCATGTGAGACAAGGCTATGTACTGAGTTTTGATGTCAAATATATTTCTCTTTCAGGGTCATAATCAAAAAATGAAAACTCTGTTTAACTCCGATTTCTCTCGTAAAAAAGCAGACTTACAACTTTCAGGCAACTGAGATTCATGTTAACATTGTTTTTATTGCTCTGTATTTTTGTGGTTACCTTCTAAGTAAGACAAGTGATTGATATAAAATTCCTTTTAAGTTTATACAGGTAAGCAAACTGAGTTGATTTCTATCACAGGCAATAAGTAGGTAGAGCCAAAATGGTAAAGTGACTCATGAAGACTGAAGTTTGATGAAGTCTGGCCTAAGGCACAGGTAAACTGAGTGTGGATTTAGAAGTACTAGGAGCTAGCTTTTAACCTTGCGCAGCCTCAATTTCTTTCCCCAGAAGAAGCCATGTGTGGGTGAGGAGGGAAGGGAGGTATAAAATACCTGTCTTCCTTGTAAACTCCATTCAACAAACATATTTTTAGTGCTTTCTCTGTTCCTTGGCACCATATTGGGGATGGGATACAGTGGTGAGCCAGGCAGACACAGCGCCTATTCTTTTGTAAGAAAATTTATTTTTATAAAAACATAAAGTATACAGTATGATGTTTTCATATACATTATGAAATGATTACTACAGCTGAGCTACTTAACACCCATCGCCTCACATAGTTACTGTCTTGTTTCTTACTATGGACATTTACAGCTGTGCATTTCCCTCCACACACTGCTTTCATCACACGCTATCGGTTTTGGTATTTTGTGCTTTTGTTTTCATTCATCTCAATGTATTTTCTAATTTCTCTTGTGATTTCTTCTTTGACTCCTTGATTCTTTAGAAATCTGTATTTCCACACACTTATGAATGTTCCAGTTTTTCTTTTGTTACTCATTCCTAGCTTCATTCCATTGTGTTCAGAGATGATACAGTCCGTGCCTGTTCACGTGAAGCAAACATTCTGTAATGGTGGGACCAGTACCATGTCTGTTTCATTCATCACAGTCAGCACGCCCCAAATGCCAAACACGGAGTGGATGGCTGGGAATGAGGGAAAACTTCCCTTCCGGGGTAGTTGTCACTAGCAGAGAGGAAAACTAATATTGCCTGCTTACTGCATGTCAGGCATTTGGGCTAGGAATTTTTACACTGGATCTAAAATAACTCTTAAGTTAGGCATTGTCCCCATTTTATAGATGGAGAAACTGATCCCAAAAGGTGGGAACTTGTCCAAGACATCACAGGTAGCAAGAGGCACTTTTACCTGGCTCCAAATCTGTATTCTTTCCACTGACAAACGAGATATGGGATATGGTGCTTCTTTATAGCACTGTAATAAGTATTGGCATATAACATTATTTTTTAGGAACTCCCAGGGCCAGAGGAGCTGACAAGTTTTTCAATTAATATTCCCAACATGACTGAGATGGCTCATTCCTCAGTTTCCTCACATGTACTATAAGGCTAGTACCTGCTTTGTGCTTTTGTGCATTAAGTCAACAAATCCCTTAGCTGATACGGTTTGGCTGTGTCCCCACCCAAATCTCATCTTGAATTGTAGTTTCCATAATCCCCAGAGGGACCCTGTGGGAGGTAATTTGATCCTGGGGGCTGTTCTCGTGATAGTGAGTTCTCACAGGAGCTGATGGTTTTATAAGGGGCTTTTCTCTTGTTCAGTACTTCTTCCTGCCGCCATATGAAAAAAGGGGAGTTTTTGGCTCCCCTTTGGCCATGATTGTAAGTTTCCTGAGCATCCCCAGCCATGCTGAACTGTAATTAAATTTCTCCTTTATAAATTACCCAGCCTTGGGTATGACTTTATTAGCAGCGTGAGAATGGACGAATAAGTACTAGGTGCCAGGCACTGGAGATTGCTATAATAGAGGGGAACATAAGACAGTTTCAGACAGCGGTGAGTGACGATGTGAAGGAAAACCTGAAAACACAGGAGATGACGGGAGCATATCCCAGGCAGGCTGTGGCGCATAAAGTTGGTGAAGAAGGAACATCCCCAACGGCAAGGCGGATGTGGCCGGCATCAGCGAGCAAGGAGCAGAACCTGAGATGGGAGAGGCAGAGCCAGATCCTGAAGGGCCCTGTAACAAGGTTGCATTGGTTGCTGGCAGAAAACCTAGAGGGCAAGAGTGGAAGCAGGAAACCTGGAAGTGAGAAGGCAACTAAAAGCAGCTGGACCCGTGAAAACATTAGCCAGGGTAGAAGCCATGGTGAGCATGCGCCAACTGGTTGGCACAGGACCAGGCAGCCATCGAGGCAGGAAGAATGATGGAGGAGCAGCCTTGTCTGGGGTAACACCGGAGGTTTCTTGTCTCATGGTCACAGAGGTCAAGGATGTGGACCCACAAAGAGTGAGGTTAAGAACAGAAATTTAATAGGTGAAAGAAAGAGAATAGCTCTCTGCTACAAGAAGGGTCCTGGAAAAATGGGTTGCTGGATCTGCAGTGAAATGCAGGGGTCTTTATAGATGAGCTGGTGAGGAGGTGGTGTCTGATCTACAGAGGGCATGAAAAACTGGTTGGACCAGGTGTGCCATTTGCATAGCGTATGAATCTCGGTGCCCCCACCGCAATCTTTTGTGCATGCGAGTTCTCTGTCTGGGCTGTGCCATGTCGCCCACTTCTTTATGACTGTACACTTGGTGAAAGAAAAGGGAAGATGGAGCCTCCGTGCTGGACATGCCGGGCTCCCAGGCATCCCTTTTCTGTTGGCACAGCTACCAGCATTCCCCTGTGCAGGCGTCCAGCTTCCTTATCTATGTTTGCAGCTGGATTTTTCAGGCTGCTCTTTGTTAGAAAATGAATGATTTCTGGGGCTGCTTTTTGTTAGAAGGGAAATTCTGCCGAGGATTCTTTTGCCCTCAATATCCGCCTAAATAATTTCTTTCTGCCTCCTGTGTCAGTGGCCAGTGGTGGTGGGGGTAGCTGCAGCTGTCAGAAAACAGTCATGATCTTTGCAAGTATCGAGATTGGAGACTGGAGAAACTTCACAAATGCCCCCAGGAGAATTGTCCATCTGTGCACTTAGCCCACAGTGGGAAATAAAGGGTTAACAAACGTTCCTATGTGAACAGTGGATTTCTTCCCTAGTTCAATCTTACAGATGGCTAAGGAGCCCTCTGCACTTTCAGATCCCTTGACGTCCACGGGGGAGCAGCAGGTGCTTTACAGAGCTGAGCCAACACATCAGCAGTTTTGTGTGAATCCCCACCTGAACCCAGCCAGGTGAGGATTATAAGCTCCATTTTACAGTGGAGGAAACCTTCGGCAACGGGAAATAACCTGTTCTAGGGTGTTAGTGACAGAGCTGGGATTCAGCCCATGCTTTTAACAGCAGCTGACTTTATTATAGAGTGACTACGTTCTTTGCATGTATTAACCCATTTTACAGAAGATGCAAATGAGACACAAGAGAAATTAAGCCTTGCCCCAGGCCACTCAGTGAATGGCAGAGCCAGGGAAATGTGGTATGACACTGAGATGCGACCAACACTTGACACAGGCCCACATTCCTGGAACATTTAAAAGTGCTTCTGGGCCCAGTCCATGGGGCCAAGAGAGGTAGTTCCAGAGCAGAGCTGCTTTAAAGCTGGCGTAGTAAGTGCGCCAGACAAGCGGTGTTCTTATTGTTGGATGGGCTGAGCTGACCACGCCCACACCTCGTGCTACCTTAGGGGTTGGGAACACCTGCGTTAGTGAAGGCATGCAGGGCATAATCTCTGATTTAACTGAGAGAGTCAACCATATTCCTGGCCCTGCTTCCAATAAAACTTTATTTACAAATCAGACAGCCTGTGGGCCATAGTTTGCCAATTTGATATTTAAAACCATCCCATTAAGATATTTGTCTTGATTATTGAGTTTTTTTGGTGCCCCCTTAAATTCGTGCCTCACTTGCTTCACTCTAGTCCTAACCCAGCTGTCACTGACTGCCAGAACCCTGATGGAGGAGCCCGTGTTCTTACAAGTGTCTGCACCTGCTGTGGTTTGAATGCGTCCAAATTTCAGGTGTTGGAAACTTAATGCCCAATGTAGCAGTATGGAAAGATGGAGCCTTTAAGAGGTGATTGGATCCTGAGGGCTCTGCCCTCATGGTGGATTAATCCACGTGTGGATTCATAGATTAATGGGTATTATGAAAGCAGGACTGGCGGCTTTATAAGAGGAAGAGGGACCTGAGCTAGCACGCCCACCATCCTTGCTTTGTGATGCCATGTGCTGCCTCGGGTCTCCGTAGAATCCCCAACTTCAAGAAGGCTGTCACCAGATGTGCCCCCTTGACCTCGTACTCCTCCATAACAGTAAGGAATAAACTCCTTTTCTTTATAAATTACCCAGTTTAAAGTATTCTTTTAAGAGCAATAGAAAGCAACTGAATGCAGCCCTAACCTCTTGGGGAGCTAGGAGTCTCCCCTTGGGTCCTTAATTCTAGGCACCGCAATTTCAAAGGACTGTGCACTTTTCTGCCACCAGGGGTCATAATTTACTGTCATTCTCGGTGCCGACAAGTAAAGAAACCTCCCTTCTCTTTCTTCTCTTCCTCCTCCCTCCTTCCGCTTTCTTCCTCCCTTTCTTTTCTCCCCTACTCCTTCCTCTACTTCCATCTTTTCTTCCCAAGTCCCTGCCTTCCTTCCTCCCCTCCCTCCCTCCCTTCCTTGAACGTGTTCATTTATTCACTCAACACCCCCTTAGCTGAGCACCTATATGTAGCAGGCACTGTGCTAATTGTGCACCATGTAGTGATCGAGACGGACGTAAGGATATTTAGTTCCTTCCGGTCTTAATGTTTCATCCATTCTCTCTTCACTCACTCCTTTACTGGGTATTTAGTGAGCACATGGGCTGTGTCTGGCTCTTCCGAAAAAGCTGCAGCGGTGGTGACAAGGTCCAGCTGCCGCCTGGGAGCCCCTGGCCTCTGTCCTGGCCCCTTCGTTCTTTGTCACTCAGCAGCCCAGGGAACCCTTTTAAAGCCAGAACGTGCCACTTCTCTATTCACAAGTATGCTGGCTTCCCAGCCCATGTCTCCTTGTTTACCAGGTGCATGGCCTGGGATCCCTTCCTTGTACCTCTCTGAGCCTCAGTGTCCTCATCTGAAAAATGGGCTCACAATGGTGCTGCATGGTGGAGTTACTGTGAGTATTGTCACTGGTCAGGATCCCCGGGAAGCAGCCTCTGAGATGCAGCTGAGCTGCAGGGTGTTTGTGAAGGCTGGCCCTTGGGATCAACTCCACAGCATGGAGGAAGCAGGAGAGGGGGAGGGAGAAGTGGAACTGAGACCTAGCAGCAGCTACAGCCAATCCCGTGGGAGCTCTGCGGCTGGAATGGCTCTTCAGAGATGTCGCAAGATGGCCTGAGATGGCCAGGACTTTGCAATCTCACATTGTGCAGTCATTGGGTGGTAACCCCTGGAAGGGACCGAGCTCAGGCAAGGCCACTCTCCGCCCACTGTGAGGTGATCCGTGGAGGGGCTGAACACAGAAGCTGACTGCAGACCACTCTCCCTGCCACTGGGGCAATCAGTCCTTCCTTGAAGGGGTCTGGGTCGCACATCCACGTCCACCACAAGCATTCATATGAAGAAGTGCGTGGAGAACTTGGAGCACAGGGCATGGCACGTGGTGACAGTGAGCAATGTTGTTATGATGTCATTTAGGTGGCTACTGTTCTTAGAGAACAACCAACAGGCGATTGTAATACAGCTTCATGTGTTCCCCTTATAAGCCAAGGGTCGACGAGATGCACTCTCCCGCATCACCAGGCTGCCATTCCAAAGCTTCTGAATCAAAGGTCTGAGACTGCCCTGAGAATCTGCATTTCTAACAAGCTCCCAGATGATGCTGAGGCTGCTGTTCTGAGTACTCCTACCTGAAGGAAAATCAAAGTATATTATCAGAAAAATAGGAAATGGATGCCCGAGAGGGCAAGAAACAACATATCCACCTGCCATACCCATTTTACAGACGGGGAGTAGTGGCTCAGAGGTGCTAAGCAACTTTCCCAGAGTCATCAGCCTGGAAATGGTAGAGTTTGTGCCAGGCATTATTGCCTACCAAAAGTCACCCTCCTTTTTTTTCTTTCTTTTTTTTCTTTTTTTTTTTGAGACAGAGTCTCGCTCTGTCACCCAGGCTAGAGTACAGTGGTGTTAGCTCACTGCAATGTCTACCTCCTAGGTTCAAGCGATTCTCCTGCCTCAGCCTTCCAGGTAGCTGGGATTACAGGCACATGCCACCATGCCTGGCTAATTTTTGTAATTTTTAGTAGAGACAGGGTTTCACCATGTTGGACAGGCTGGTCTCGAACTCCTGACCTCAAGTGATCCACCCACCTTGGCCTCCCAAAGTGCTGGGATTACAGGCATGAGCCACGGCACCTGGCCTACCCTCCTTATTCCTTTTGGACAGAACCCCAGTTAGTCTAGATATTAGTTAGGTGAAGACAGCTTCATCTCAGGAGAGAGGTCAGATTGGTCCCTGATTAGAAAGGGACATGTGTATTAGGCTGTTTGCATTGCTATAAAGAAACACCTGAGGCTGGGTAAATTACAGAGAAAAGGGGTTTAATTGGCTGATAGTTCTGCAGGCTGTCCAAGCATGGCTCCAGCCTCTGCTTCTGATGAGGGCCTCAGGAAGCTTCCAATCATGGCGGAAGGTAAAGGGAGGGCAGACAGTGTCACATGGCAAGAGCAGGAAAAAGAGAGAGAAGGGGGGGGAGCCAGATTCCTTTAAACAATCAGCTCTCTTGTGAACTAACAGAGCCAGAGCTCACTCAGAGGTTACCACGGAGAGGGCACCAAGCCATTCACGAGGGATCTGCCCCCGTGATCCAGCACCTCCCACCAGCCCCACCTCCTGCACTGGAGGTCACATTTCAACCTGAGATTTGAAGAGGACAAACCTCCTAACCATATCAGCATGCGATCCTTTTCTGACCAATAAGATACAAGAGCAAATTTGTGAAGATTGCTTCTGCAGAAGATTTTGCTTCTCCTAGAAGGTGAGGAGGTGTAAGAACTCTGTCCCTCCCTGACACCAGCACATCGCCATCAACAATTTCTGCTTTTCATTGCAATGGCGATAACGAGGTTCAGCAGCCATCTGGAGACCATGAGGCCACCCCTGACAGTGAAGAGTCAGTGAGAGGAAGATGATGAGGTAGAGGAGTGGGCAGAGTGTGAGTCTTCCCTTAGTGACCTCAGACCTCGCTTTCTGTACTTATTACATGGACAGGCAAATATCTCCAATGCTGAAGCCACTGCAAATCAGGTTTTCCATCACTTGAAGCCAAAATTATTCCTAAGCAACACAGACAGTGATCTCAGGTCCCCAAAGCCATATTTGTTCATAGCATCTTGCTGCCTTTCATGGTCAGGTTGGGGCCTCTCTATCTAGATCAAAGTCAAGGAGACGGACTGACTCCAGCCCCTTCTTGCCAAGGCCTGGGAGGTGGGAACCCCACACTGAGTCCCAGCCTACTCAAGGCCTGGCCAAAGTCTGCCACCAATTCCCTCTGTGAGTTTGGGGAAAATTATAGACTTCCCCGTGCCTCAGTTTCTGCATTTGTAAAGTAGAGGGTTTGATCTAGATCCAGTGAGTTGCTATAACTGTAGGCAGTTTTGTTGGGTCCACATAATGCTTGCTTTTTAGTTGCCGATGTTAAACAATTGGGATGGTTTCATATGCAAAAATCCAGACATCAGGCTTCTCTGGAAGCATCATCAGGAGATCTGGCCACACTGGGACCCTGTTCTAACTCCTCTTTTTAGAGGGGCCTGTGCTTTCCAGTTTGCTCCAGTCTCCACTGCCCCCATTGCTCCTTGGCTCTGAGTCACTGTTTATCACACGCTGGTCCCATTGGACTTCTTATAGAGGTAAGAGGAGCGTGAGCTATGTCTTACCCCTCCTGTTACTTTTTCCTGAGAGCATTTGAATTTGCAGCCTTTAGATAAGACAGCTTGTATCTTCCCCAGGGGTCTTACAGGCATCTCAAAACTCAACATGTCCCCAAACAAACCCCTAGTTTCACCTTTGGTCTCTGCCCTCACCACAAACTTTTGTCTTAGTAAATGGCAGCCCCAGGAATCCACAGATTCACCCCAAACCTGCAGGCTCTCTTCAACTCCCATCTTTCACCAGCTCCCCTTGATCCCATTCAGTCCAGCAGCAGATCCAGCCAGAGTCACTTTCAAAATATAATTAAAAAGTGGGGAGAGCGGCTGCCCTTGGAGGAGGGGCAGTGATTTGGAGGGGGCTTCTGGGGACTTCGGGGGGGAGGGACAAGTTCTAATTCTTGAGTTTGATGCTGGTTATGTGGGTGGATTGGGTTTGTAAATAACTTCATCAAACTGCGGCATGTTTATGTGTGTGCTTTTCAGTATTTATGTTTCACTTCAATAAAAAGCTGATAAGGCTGGGCGTGGTGGCTCACACCTGTAATCCCAGCACTTTGGAGGCCGAGGTGGGCGGATCACCTGAGGTCAGGAGTTTGAGACCAGACTGGCCGACATGGTGAAACCCTGTTTCTACTAAAAACACAAAAATTAGCTGGGTGTGTTGGCGGGTACCTGTAGTCCCAGCTACTCAGGAGGCTGAGGCAAGAGAATCGCTTGAACCCAGTAGGCAGAGGTTGCAGTGAGCCGAGATCATGCCACTGCACTCCAGCCTGGGTGACAGAGCGAGACTCTGTTAAAAAAAAAAAAAAAAAAGTGCTGATGAATTTGGACCTGCAATCTGTTCCCCTCCTGGCCACCCTGGCGTAGGCCATGTGACCATGTGATCTTTTCCCTGAACCCCGGCAGTGGCCCCTCATGGTTCTCCCCACTTCTGCCCTCATCCCCACTGTTTCCACATAGCCCGGGAACTCTATTAAACCTCAGTTCAGATCTGCTGGGCAAGGTGGTGCGTGCCCATAGTGCCAGCCACTGGGGAGGCTGAGGCGGGAAGGATCACTTGAGCCCAGGAGTTCAAGGTTGCAGTGAGCTGTGATTGAACCACTGCACTCCAGCCTGGATGACACAGTGAGGGCCTGTCTCTAAAAAGAAACAAAACAAAACTAAAAAATAATAATAAATTTAAAAAACTAAAAAAAAAAGGAAAAACCACTCTTGGGGTCCCCACCTCACCCGGGGGAGAAGATCAATAGCTCAACCTCCCCCCACCTACCCCAGCACTCCTGGTTCTGACCCCCCTGCTGTTCTTCTCCCCATGTTCCCCTGGGTAAGCCACACTGGGCTCCTTGCTGTCCTTCCAACATGCCAGCCTCGGCGCATCTCAGGCCTTCGTAGCGCTGTTCCCTTTCCCTGAAACACTGTTCCCACTGATCATCACATGGCTGC